GTTGGACCGTCGAGCGTGGCAGTGGATTCCACCAGTTGAGCTGCGCGCGCAGCAGCTTGTCAGTATTCCTGCAATCACATGGGAATTGTTCCGCGCGTGGGTTTCCTCGACGCCTGATGGGCAAGTGTGCGATCGCTGCTGTCGGGGAGACGGGGGCGTCGGCCGCTGGTGGGCCGGGGCCGCAGCGCGCCTGCGGCCGCGATCGCCCGCCCCTGTCCTGTTTAGTGATGCCGCCGAGGATCCCCTCCCCGACGAACGCGGCGGCGGCCTCGGGGGCCGCGGCCGCTGGCCCCTCGGAGGGCTGCGGCGCCGAGGCGCCCTTTCTACAAGTTTGGATGACGCGGCTACCGATCCCTGTGAGTCCTCTGTCTTTATGGTAGAGCGCAAGTCCCCCCCCCCCCCCCCCCCCCCGAGTTCGAAGGCGCGCGCCAGTGGGGGGGCGCTTAATGCTTGGGAAGGGTCGTGGTCCTCGTCCATCGCCGTCCCTTCCTCGCACTGGATACCCCCCCATTAAGCACGATGAGGCACCAACCTCGCACTGCCCCCCCAACGAGGGGAACCCCCCCCTGTCCCCCCTGCGCAGAGGCCGGACCACCCCCCAGGAACTGCAGGGACCTCTGGGAGTCGGCAGCGCGGCCCAGGCCCCCCCCCCACCCTCCCCGGGCCCCCCCTTGTCAGGGAAGGGGGCATGGAAGGGGATCGATTTACTTACGACGTGTATTTGTGTGCTCGTTCTTCAGTTTTCCTGGGGGCGACGATGGCGAAGACGACGATAGCGTCTCGCGCACGCCGAAAGGTCGGTAGACGGAGGGAATCACTTTCTAGGAACGAGAAGACGATGGGAGCTCGGTAGAAGAAGTTGAAGAACGAATTCGAAAGAGACACATAGCTCGATGTTGTAAAGGATTCCTCGCTCGGGCGGCTCCCAACAAAACTGCTGTTTCGCCCGAGGCATCCTCGGAACATTGAGACGTTGAGTTCGCATGTTCCGTTTTCCTTTAAGAATGAGGCGCTCGCCCGAGACATCGTCGAACAACGAGGAGGGGGAGGAAAAGGAGGAGGAGGGGGAGGAAGAGCAGGAGGAGGAGGAGGAGGACGCAGCCGCGCACAGGCACCCACACACACACGCACGCAAATGCACATGCACATGCGCGCACGCAAGCATAGGCCACGCGCGACACCTGTCCAAAGCAATTGTAGGGAACCACTCAATACGAGCTACCAGTGGCGACCATCGGGGCATTCAGGAGAGCCCAGCGACGGCGCCCATGTGCGCGCATGTCCGTCGGTTGCAAAACCATGCGCGCATTCCCGTTCATGTCCGGCATCCGTTCAGAGAAGCGGCGCTTCCCGTTCTTGCCATGTTTTCCCGCGTTTTCTTGTTTTCTTCGAAGGGCCCAGTCATCGTTCGTTTCGATTCGTTGTAATTTTCGATTGCCGTTGGAGGCGATATGCAACGCAACGTTGGGTTGCCGGCTGCGCTTCCAAATCCAAATTGAACAATTGCTTTTGGCCCACGACATGGCACGGTAAGAGCACGACGCTTGCCTGCACGATACTAGCCGCTCGAAATGCAATGTGCCCTCTGACTTTTACACGCATACATGCATACATACATACGTACGTGCACAATTCGGCTGAACGCTTGCCGAGCTGACCAATCGACTTGGACGTTGGTTTCTTCCTTGTTTCCCGAAGGAGGTCCGAAACCGAACTTTCTGGAATGGCCCCCCACTGCACGGCATATTCGTGTTTTGATCACGCCGCCGACCCAGAATCGTCCGATATCGAACGGTTTGCGGGGCGCCGCGCAGAAGACATTTTCTGTTGTTTCGGACGACCGCGAAAACAAGGCCTTCTGCGTTGGCCTGAACGAGTCAGACCAAGCGGGAATTCAGTCCGAACCGCTGCCATGCGCAGGGTATTTTCTGAAGGCGCCGCCGAACGCGAACCTAGGGCTGCTCTTCGAACCAGAAGAGTTCGTGACGGAGTTCAAGCGCCGGCTCCAGGTGCCAGTCTACGAGTCCGAGCACTGCTGCCCGCGCTGCGACGGCGCGCGCGACAGGCACGGCCGCCACTCTGGCCTCTGCGCGGGCGCTTGAGACCGCGCGCCGCGACGCAATGCCGCGCGGAACTTGGTCGGCTGCATCGCTTCTTCGGCCAGCTACAAACCAGAACTGGATCGCCCGGGGCTCTTACAGCCTCAGCCCGACGACACTCAGGTCAAAGGTCGTTTCCCTGCGGACGTGCACTTGCCATCTTGGTTACGAGGGGCACCGGCTGCTTTCGACTTGGCGGTATCTTCGCCGCATCGGCAGGTCGCCCTCGGCATTGCGCGGCTCGGCCTAGGGCGCGCGGCCCAGGCGTGCGAAGCGACCAAGCGTGAGCACTTGGACACGGAGGCCCAGCCCAGCGCAGGCGGCCGGGGATTTTGCCCGCCCCCTGCGGTACTGAGCCGCCAGGCGGATGGGGCCCCGCAGGCGCGGACGCCCCCGCCGCCTGGCTCGGCCCAGCGACGGGCGCCTCGGAGAAGAGGCGGGCTCTGGGGCGGCTCGCCTCTACCAGCGGTTGTCCGCGGGAATTCGCAGGGCCACTGCGCGGGCAGCGTTGCGCAGGCGCGCGGAGGCCCCCGCCACGGAGGGCGCGCCGTCCGCCGCTCTCGACTTGCTGGCCGCCCATGGTGGCAACGGTGACGCCTAGTCTTCCTCCCCCCCGCTTCTCCCGCCCTCCTCTTCCGCTGCTCGGCTTGAACATTTCCCCGCCGACAGGGGCGCTGGCACTTTTCCTGCGCGCCGGCGCTCGGAGGCACCTCTCGGCCCGTTCCTTCTCTTGCCTTGGCCCCGGCCCTCGGTTGGTTCCCCTCGCTCTTTCCTTTCCCTCTATCCCTCTTTCTCCTTTTTGTTGTACCTCTCTCTCTCTCTCTCTCTTTTTCTCTCTCTCTCTCTCTCTCTCTCTCTCTCTCTCTCTCTCTCTCTCTCTCTCTCTCTCTCTCTCTCTCTCTCTCTCTCTCTCTCTCTCTCTCTCTCTCTCTCTCTCTCTCTCTCTCTCTCTCTCTCTCTCTCTCTCTCTCTCTCTCTCTCTCTCTCTCTCTTCTCTCTCTCTCTCTCTCTCTCTCTCTTCTCTCTATATATATTGTTATTTCCTCTCTCTCCTCTTCTCTCTCTCTCTCTCTCTCTCTCTCTCTCTCTCTCTCTCCTCTCTCTATATATAATATATCTGTCTCTATTTCTCTCTCTCTCTCTCTCTCTCTCTCTCTCTTCTCTCTCTCTCTCTCTCTCTCTCTCTCTCTTTTTGAGTATCTCTCTTTTTCTCTCTCACTCTCTCTCTTTCTCTTTTTTTTGTTCTCTCTCTCTCTCTCTCTTTCTCTCTCTCTCTCTTTCTTTATGTATTATTTTGTGTCTCTCTCTCTCTCTCTCTCTACTCTCTCTCTCTCTCTTGTCTCTCTCTCTCTCTTTCTCTCTCTCTCTCTCGCTTTCTTTTTTTTCTTTCTCTCTCTCTCTCTCTCTCTCTCTCTCTCTCTCTCTATTTATCTCTCTCTCTTTCTCTTTCTCTCTCTCTCTCTCTCTCTCTCTCTCTCCCCTCTCTTTCTTTCCCTTTTTTTTCTCTCTCTCTCTCTCTCTCTATGTCTCTCTCTCTCTCTCTCTCTCTCCTCTCTCTCTCTCTCTCTCTCTCTCTCTCTATATATATATATATATATATATATACATATATATATATAGAGAGAGAGATCGTGTCTTCTCTATATTTCTCTCTCTCTCTCTGTCGTTATCTCTCTCTCTCTCTCTTTTTGTCTCTCTCTCTCTCTCTCTTTCTCTTTCTCTCTCTCTCTCTCTCTCTCTCTCTCTCTCTCTTCCCAAATCAGAGCTTGCCTCTGTATGGGGTCCTAGCGGATTCATATGGTTAGGGTAGGTTTGTCGGCGATTTTCGGGTGCCCGGGGGTGCCCGAGTGCCCGGGGTGCCCGGGTGCCCGGGGTGCCCAGGGGCCTGGGCGTGCCCGGGGGTGCCCTACCCTACAATTCTATTGCCTCATAGCTCTATAGCCCTATAGCTCAATAGCAGCCCCCTAGCCCTATCGCCCTGATTGGGTTTTTCTCGGGTATCATTGTTTTCGTTTCTCTCTCACTCGTTCTCTCTTTTCCTCCCCCTGGTCGGCTCCCCCCCGCCCCCCCGCCCTTCCGTCTGTCGGCCCAGTCTGTTTTTTCCTGTCGTCATCCTCCCTCTCCCCCTCCCTCTCTCGCTCCTTGTCCCCTCGCTCTCCTGCCCGTTTTGGTCCTCAGCATGGCCCCGTTTTCTTTGTCGGTCCGTCCCGCGGTCCGAACAAGAGCTGCGGTAGCCTGACGTTTGCTGCACTGTGAGACAAGTGGCGACGAGGTGCGACCTCAATGCCCGGCGGCAGCCTGCAAGGACCTGCCAATTCCTTCCCAGGAACCTTTGGAAGATTGCGAATATCTTTCAAGGTTGCTCGATCACGCGGGGTTCAACCAAAGCCGGCGTCGCCATGATGGTGTCACACAAAGGCACAGTTCGTTTTAGGAAGGGGGTCGCTTGTCCCTAGTTCCTTCCATGGTTGTCCCACCAGTGCTCCTCGTTCACCACCCAGGCGTTCTTGGGGCCAGCGAGGGGTTTCGTTCCTGATTCAGCGTTCCTTATAGCAGCAACTTGACTGCACTTCTTCCGAGCGCGATGCACCGTTGCCGTTTGTACACCCAACGCGCCCTTTGTTCACATCCGCCGGGGTGGAGCAACGCCCGTGGACATGCCGCGGGGGGCTCCTCGGCCACTGTGTTGACGATGGGGTACATTGGCAATGCCTCGCTGTCTTGGGGCTTCTCTGCGCTCCTGCTGGCTACAGCATGCGACGCCTGTTCGGAGCCACGCTGCCAATGCCACGTTCTCCTGTGGCTGCGCTGCGCTCCTGCTCTGACCGCACGTCGCCGCAGAGGCGGCGGAGAGCTTGCGAGATCCCCTCGGTTGCGCTCCCCCGCCCTGCCCCGCGCGAGGCGCCGACCACGCCCGCCCCGTACAACTGCAGCGACGACGAGGCCCCCCGCCGGCCACCCCGCGGGCGGGCGGGGCGGGCGCGATGCCCCCCGAGGGCGGGGCGGCGGGGGGCCCATTGAAAGGCTCGGAAAAGTCGAGACGACCGGCTTCTCTCGACTGTACACGTCTCGGGCCTGTGCCGCCGAGCTGCGACGCTCCGGGGCGCCCCGTGCGAGCTCGACCTGTTGGATGGGTTGTGAGTTTCACCTCGAGGAGGCAGGAGGGTGAGGATGAGGAAGGAGGAGGAAGACGAGGAGGAGGAGGAGGAGGAGGAGGAAGAGGAAGAGGCAGAGGAGGAGTAGGAGGGGATAAAGCAGGGGGAGCAGGAGGAGGAGGAGGAGGAAGAGGAGAAGGAAGGTGTTGGCAGTCGCCTTAAAGCAGTATGTGTTGAATAGCATGTTCGCGTCGTGTCCGTCTGTCGAGCTTGATGGCGGGCCAGTTCCAGGCCAGGTTGGCTCGTTGGTGGGTCGTTGGGCTTGGGAGCCCCCGCCCCGGCTGCGGCCCCAGCCGCGGCTGCAGTCCCGGCTCTGGCCCCGGCCTGACCCCGGTCCCGGCCGCGGTTGCGGCCGTGGCCGTGGCGCCGCGGCCCCCGCCGCGGCTGCGGCCCCGGCCCCTGCCGTGGCCCCGGCCCCGGCAGAGCCACCCAGGCAACTCCCTGGGCAGGATTGAAGCTCAGGCTGCAGCTTCTCAAAAGAACTCACAGGCTGGATCGGCGGGTTTCGCGCCTCACCCCTCCTTCTCCTCCCTCCATCTTCCTGATGAATCACCTCTCTCACCTTTGGGGGGGGGCGCTATCTGAATTGAGGCTGCGCGGAGGGACATGATCGCAGCCCCCGGGCCATCTGTCCGCACGGAGGTACATACTTGGTGTTGTTGTCGTGTCTTGACAGCTCCCTTCTTGTGTGAACGTGTTCGGCTGCGGAACCGAGCTTTCCCCGCTACAGTCGCGCCTCTTGTCTTTTAGGTGTTTGTCTTGGCGGTGATCCGTGCAATTCCCCTCTTCCTCATCCTCCTCTCGTCGGTTCGCAAACCTGCAGCATCCGCATTGCAAAAGCGGTGCGGTTCGCATCGCATCCTGGAGCCCGTGGTTCTTGTCTGATATCTATATATATATATATATATATATATATATATATATATATATATGGATTCGAATTTGCTGAGTTGTGCATGCTTTTTGATGTGTGGCACTGTCACCGTACTTTCCCAATGAGTGCGCGTCCTCATCCTCCACCACCTCCTCCTGTTGTCGTCCTCTTTCCGCGTAGGTGACCCTTCCTTGTCGCGTCTCCAGCGCGTCGTTTCGGACTTTCCAGCCAATTCCCATCCTGATGTCTAACACGTTCCACATTCACCTGCAAGAATGGAGGGATGCTCAGCGCGGCGCGCGCTCTTTTTTCTATGTTCGCAACAACTAGAAGGATGGAAGACAGCTCCTTTTGAAGAGATTGATCCTCGCCCTGCCGCCGCGCGCATCCGCTTTCAAAGCCTCCGGAAGTTACAATCACGGAGGGCGGTACGTTTTCAGATAGGGCGTTCGGCCCAGCGCCGCGCACAGGTGCATTCACACGCTGCTACAGCTATGAGGATGGAGGGCGGTTCCTTTTCAGAATGGCGTTCGTCGCTTGAGATGTCCCCCAAATTGCTTGCAGAAGTTTCTTTACATGTGCCGGAAGCCCGACCCCGGGGCGCGCAGGGACGAAGACTAACAAGGGTGGAGGAATATTCAAGAATAGGAAAAAATACTCTGGGAACGATTTGCGTAGCATTTTGTGACTATTTTGGTGTATTTTTGAGTATTTAAAATTTTTCGCTCAAAATCCGCCCGTAGGGGGACATGCCCGACCTAAAACAAGGGCACTCTGGGCACACGAAGAGCCCCCTCCCCTCCCGAAGCCTCCCTGGCGGCGCCCCCCAGAGGCTGCTTCGGAGCCGGGGGACCCACGGCAGAAATCCAAGACGTCCCAGCTGGTTCCCATACTGCTCCAGGACGGCCCCAGCTGGCTCCAAGATGGCCCAAAAGGCCCCCAAGACGCCGCAAGACGGCGAGGGCCCCGAGCGGCAAACATCGCCCCATGTTCCGTGGGAGAAACGTATACGCTTGGCATATTCATTGTGATAACGCGATGTCCAGATTTCTCTTAGGGTCTTGCGGTTTCGGCCGATCGTCTTGTCACGGATCATCAAGGTTTCGGATTGGTTTCTCTTTGTCCGTGTCTCTTTCTTTCTTCTTATTCTTCCCTTCCCTTGTGGCTTTTCACACTCGTATCCTCAGAGTGATGGGGCCGGACGGTCATTCACTGTCACGGGGCGCGGTGTTGAAGTGAGGTTGTGCGGTGCGGATTGTTGTTATTGTTGGTGTCTGTTGTTGCTTGTTGTTTGCTTGTTTGTTTTTCTGTTGGTGTTGTTGTTGTTGTTGTTGAATTCTCACTTCTGAAGAATAATTATTGTTGATCCCTCCCGTCTGGTGCACATTGCTTTTTTCGATCGAAGTGCCTTTCCCGGGGCTCGCACCCTGTTTGTTTCTTAACAAAAATCAGGGAGAAGTTTCTGGGTCAAACTGTGTCGTTGGCCCCCGGTTTACAACAATTGCGGCTCCCGCCTGATATTTCTTAACAATTTATTGAAGAGTCGCGCCCTCGCTTGGGACTTCCTTGCAATTCACCGCCGGATCGCGGCTCCCGCTTGATCCTTCCTCACAATGTATTGAAGAATCGCGCGCTCGCTGGGGAATTCCAAATTACCACCGGATCGCGGTTCCCGCCTGATACTTCCACACAATTTATTCAGATGCTGCTCCTCGACACTCAGGAATCGCGCTCCCGCTACATCTTGCCTGGCGGTTCGAGCAGAATTCATGCTTCAACGACCCGCCCGCTCGACCCGCCCGTCTGGGCCTGCCCGCCCGACCAGCCCGTTAGGGACTGCAGTCGCCGCTCGCTGCCCTTCGCCCACCTTCGATGCCCTTCGCTTCCCGTACTGGTTCCTCGGTCGCCTTCGCTCGCTGCCCTTCGTGGCCCCGTTGCTGCCCTCAGTGGCCCCGTCGCTGCCCATGGTGGCCCCGCATTGTATGCCCTTCGTGGCCCCCGCTCGCAGTCGCCCGCCGTGGCCCCATACGCATGCCCTTCGTAGCCCCGCTGTCGCCCTTCGTGGCCCTCTCGCTGCCCTTCGTGGCCCCTTTGCTGCCCTCAGTGGCCCCGCTGTTGCCCTTTGTGGCCCCATATATATGAATGCCCTTCGTGGCCCCCGCTCGTTCGCGCCCGCCGTGGCCCCATATGCATGGCCTTCGTGGCCCCGCTGTCGCCCTTCGTGGCCCCCTCTCTGCCCTTCGTGGCCCCGTTTCTGCCCTCAGCGGCCCCGTCGCTGCTCCCTTCCTCATTATCCTTCCCTTCCTCCCTCTCCTCCTTCCCTTCCTCCCTCCTTCCCTCCTTCCCTCCCTTCCTCCTCCTCCTCCTCCTCTTCCTCCTCCTCCTCTTCCTCCTCCTTCTCCCTCCTCCTCTTCCTCCTCCCTCCTCTCGTCGTGGTCGTCGTCGTCGTGGTGAGCCCGCTGTCTGTCCATCTTGGGGTCGGGTTGCCGCGGGTCGGTGTGTGCATCGCCAGCGCTGCCACTGGCCAGGCCGACGGCCCGCCGCTTGCCGGGGCCCGGTCTGCCGGCCTTTGAGACGCGCGTGATCCACTGGCCCAGGTTCTTCTGCACGCTTCGAATGAAGGCCTCCCTCGACGAGGCCCCCGGGGCGTGCCCACTGATTTTCGGAGCCCCTGGCACTGCTCGGTGGTCATCGGGGCCATTCAGGAAGGTTTCGGGCGCCTTCCAATCCCCCCGCGCCACGTTTCCGCACCAGTCTCCGTTCGTACCCACCTGCCCCCACTTGTCAATGTTCCTTCCCAGTCTTCTCTACTCTTTCCCTTTATCTTCATGTCCATGTCGTTCGTACTCCATCGTGCTATTCCTCAGTTCTTCGCATTCCGCCCACTCCTCCCCAGGCCATCCCATCCCACCCCAACAGTCTCCACCCCTTCTCGCTCGCATTCGCATTTCTCTTAAATTATTCCCAGCCCCTCCTCCAGATGCCACCGCGCGCCCCCCGCTCCTCCGTGCTTTCCCCAGCTCCCCCTCTTCACTCCTCGCCGCCCCTCCTCCTGAGACCCTACTCCTGTCCACTCCATCCCAATCCACTCCGCATCCCCGCGCCCCTTTCGACGCGGTTGCAGTTTTCAGTATCCTTCCGCCCCACTCTCCCGACGCCCCGCTTCTTCTCAGGATTCCACGAAACTGGTTTTTGACGCCAGTTCGCAGCTGCGCGCCCCCCCGCGGAGGCATCCACGATGCGTTATTTCGAGGTTAAGCTGGCGAGGAGGAGTTGTTGCGAGCGGGCGCGGGCTCGCACAATTTACGCGAAAAATCGAACAAGTCGTAAAGTGTACGATGTTTCGGTTTTTCGGGTTCCCCCGTTTGCGCGAAAAGCGCGCTCGGGTTGCACATTTCGGCGCCAGGTTTACGGGTTCACTGATTTACGGGTTCCCCTGCCCCCCCCCCCCCCCCGGCCTTGCGAAAAGTCAGTTACAAATGCACATTTCGGCCCCAAGTTTAGAGGTTTACGGATTCACGGGTTTTCCCGCCCTTCCCCCGCCCAGCCCTGTTCGATTTCAGCAGTTCCAACGGGTGCGCGCGCGGGGTAAAGATGTTCCTCCAACTCTTTCTTCGTCCTCCCCCCCGCCCTCTTCCTCCTCCGTGTCCCGCTTCTGCTCCATTGCACGCTGATTCCCACGAGTCATCAACACCGTCGCCGCCACCATCATCACTACTATGTTCACCATCATCACCATCACCATCGTCGCCACCAGCATAAACGTCACCACCTTCATCGTCATTACCATATTCAACATCACCCTCATCATCGTCGTCACCAGCACCATCACCATCACCCATCATCACAACCATACGCATTATGCTCATCGCGCTCATCATTGCCCTCTTCGTCCTCACCCGACCCCGCCATTC